GGCCGATAAAACTTCCATCGATAGATCCACGACAAAGCGGTGATCTAGGACTGAACGTATCTGTAAAGCCCACTGACACGAAAGTTTTTTATGATAAATCAAAGGAGTTGCAAGAGTGAGTAGTAATTGCATACTCGTTACTGTTCTACACAAAAGTTCTTTTTTCCCAAAAGTTTCTCTGGAGAGGCTTTGTCTCCTTAAAAAACATAATTCTTAGTTTTGCCATTACTGATGCAAGCTGTAATTCCAAATATTGTAGAAGATTAATTATTGTTCAATCGTTGACACAGTGCCGATGAAATTGTAAAGAAAATGTTCACCTTGGAATTTCAACCAAAGAAGGAAACCAAAAGTCTAGAGAGAGAAAAAGTAATAGCACTTGTGAAGAGGCACATTTGCGATCGATCTTCAGCAGAAGTCAAAAGTAAGCATCTTTTTATTGAATAAAGCCATCTATCTATGTTTGATATGAGAATATCTAACATTATCTCTGTTAATTCAGCTTAATTTGTAAAATTCTGTAGAAACTTCTAGGTTTCAATTCGCTGTATTACAAAGTAAAGAGATACATTCTATTTAAAGTTTATTATTTGTGACTGCAGCAAAACTACATATTAGGTATTTAAACACACAAAAATCTAAATCTAGTTGGAATAAATTGTTTTAGTTGCTGCAATGACTATTGAAATACAATATCTTCAAAGACATATAGCTGAACAACGAAAGAACATAAAGCTCAAAGTATTTCTGAAAGAACTAATCGACAAAAGGAAGAAATTTCTTAAATATATGAGACGATGGGATTACAAACGGTTTGAATGGATTCTTGAACGTTTAAATCTTATTTATATACCTCAGCCAAAGTATGATGTCTTTCTTTTATATCTAAACTATATATATATTGTATATCTAATTAATTATATTTTTTTAATTGGTTATAGAGTCCCCGGCAAAGTGTCGAGAAAAGATGCACTAAGACGATTAACGAAAGATTATTGCGACGGTATTATTCAGCAAAAATTGAACATATATAGAGCCCAATTGAAAGAGCAGCAGAAGGTATTCTTCGCTCAAAAGGTCAAAAATTTAGAGTACATTTTAGCGGAAGAAGAAAAACATGGTTTGCAGCCAACTGTGTCTCAAAAAGAGATTGATGATGCACAGAAGAAAGCAGAGGAAGTATTAAGAGAAACTGTGTAAATAAATTTTTGTTACAGTCATCTCATCATGTTTCTTACCTGACTCCTAAGATTTTGTTTTACATGTATATTAAAATTCACCTTTCAAAGAAAGATATTATGATGTAAATATAACTATATTAAGAAATAAATTTTCTTTATTAAATTTGACATAATCGTAAAGTCACTTTTGTAGAGGAAGATTTATTTTTGATTAAAAAATATGTTATTTAACATGTGTTTGTTTGATAAGAATTTTTATTCTGTAACGAATTGTTGAACAATTTTTACTTGAAATAGGTAAACAAATTACATTTATAAATGCCTCAGAATATTATATACGTTTCAATGTATTTTAATTTACTGTAAAATTATAAATATTTTACTACTATTGGATTGGTGGTTAAAGCACATTAGTTTCAACAGGTGATGACGTTCCCACGGTTGCGCATCGTTTCGTTGAATCAAGAGAAACTCAAAAAATGTAAGTGAACGTCCGCGTATATACCGGGTGCTTGAAATAACTTAATTGTGTATGCAGTTTAACAAAGTGTATAAATTGAAATTTTTAAAGTGTATCAGTCGCAATATCTATGGTTTTCATTATATAAAAAAATTAATCATAAAAGATTCTAATTTCTTTTATTCTATTCCCCTCTTCGAAGCTGTTTAAATCCTCCTTGTCATTTATATAAAATATAGAAACAATGTAAGAAAATATTCTCATGGATATCGAGTGATTCAAGTGATTCAATCATTGCTTGTCTGCTTAACTTTATTATTAAAAAGAATCTTTAAATAAACTTTAAATAAATCGTTAACACCCTGTATAAGTCATATATAAAGATGAGCTGGATGCTGATATTCTATTCTGTGAAGAGGCGTCGTGAAAGTTTTGTTATATTCCAAGTTTTGCTCCAAATTCTATTCATAAGTGCATAAATATCTATGAAAATCTGAAATACATACAGTTGAAGTTAACTTCTAGGAACATTTCTTTCGTTGAGAAAAGAGAAAAAAAAATGTGATTTAACCTTTAGCGAGAAGACCGGGAAAAATTTTGAAATTGTGCATCACTGGCGTGAATTTTCTCAACATTGATCTTTATACTTCTCGAAACATGCAGTCGCATTTCGTTTCCCCGAGAACGATTATCGACAAGGTTAGTGAAAAAAAAAATTAGTGAAAAAATTTGAATTTTTTAAATAAAAAGACAACTAAATATCGTCGCGTTATCAAACTTGAAAAAAGGAGGAACGAGTCGTTCCAGTGAAACATTGGAACTGTTTTTTTTATTTTTCATTAAAAGAATAAATTTCATAGATATACCGATCGGTTTTTGTCACCGTGATTGTTGAAAGTACGATTGCTTAATACGATTATAGCATAGGTTCGCAATTGGCGACGAAAGGTAATATCGGTTCTCACGTTCGCCCGACTTCTTTCAACTTTTTCATGACGTTTCTTGCAGTGAAGAAACGTTCGCGCTGCTTTTTCGATTTGTCAGTGATCGGGCGTGTTGACCGTGTCGAATTTAGATTATTTTTTTAGTTAAGAATTACGCTCGAGAACCGCTGAAACCGTGCGGTTTCAGAGTGGCACTCCTTAAGAGCGCGAGGCGCATTGTGCAACGAGGCTTCGCGCATGCGCGGTACGTCATTCCATTTTCGAACGTCTGCGCAACAACGTCCGCGCATATTCGTATTTTAAAATCTTTTCTAACAATCTAATCCAAAAAAATAACGATTTTAATAATGCATACGTATATTTATTCTTCACTTTTTTTCCAAAATATAAAAGAAACATGTGCTAAATGTGTATTCTTTCCTCTTCGTTCACAGATCGTGATTTTGTGCTGTTTTTTAAAGCTGATCATTGCTGGCGCTCTACAACAGTAAGTAATTACATAACCTGTTTCGTGTTTCACGCAGTCCCTGTAGTAATCACAGACTCAAAATCAATGATTCTACGTACAAATTTAAATAAATCAAAG